GACCCATTCACACTATGAAACGATGATGATGATGTATGTTCAGGGCTGCATTACAACATTGATTGTTCGGATCACTGGTATCTAAGTCTTCCGCTGTGCTATCTTATACCTTGTATTGAAAGGTTGGTTCTTGTTCTGGTCTGCACCCATACGGTATGCAACAATATGGAGGGCGTCAGGATCACTGCTGACAGAAGTTGAGTTTATTCCAGAAAATGTGGCAGTTACTTTCTGCACTGTTGTTGCAACCACCACCATCAGATCATTTGTGATCTGATGGCTGGGAAGCACTCTGCCGTGATTTCCGGTGGGAGGTCTCTGTTTTTTTCTTTTTTTCTTTTGCCTTTCTCCTGTTTTCTCAGCCCAGAAATTCGTAATGAACCTGTCAGCCCGCTGCCACTCAGTGTCACACTGGATCGGCCACACTCCTATCCGACTGCTAATGGGACCTCGCCCCCGGGGTCACTTGCCCGGCGGGGCCCAAAAAAAATTAAAAACTAAAAATAATTTAAATAAATAAATTATTTTAAAGTTTTATTTTATATTTTAAATTTGGTAAGAAATTTCGATGTGACCCTGAGGCGAAAGTTGTTCAGTTTATTTTTCTGCACAACATAGTTTTTTTTCGGATTTTTTTTTGTTGTTGTTTCTTTTCTGCTGGGATGTTCCCTTGTCCTTGCACGGGCTGGCCACCCGGGACCCGGGCGATCCGGCTGGTAGCCTACCCTGCAACCCCATATTTTTATTTTTATTTTTTGCCTAATCTTTCTCAAAAAAAAAAAAAAAAAACATCTGAAAATCTCGGCCGAGTCCGTCTGACCGCGGCCGAGGCCGGCGGTCAAGTTCCTGACCGCCGAGCATATTTGCCAGATACGAACATCTGCTGTCCAAACTGAATGTGAAATTCCTCTTTTTTGAAGTTTTTCCCTTTTCTTCAGTTTTTTTTTTTTTTTTTTTTTAATCTTTGAATGAATGAATGTAAAATTCCTCGAATTTCCTACACAAACAGATATTGTCTTTGACCTTTGAACGGCAATGGTCAGACGAAAAGTTTCCCAAATTGAATGTGAAATTCCTCTAGTACTCTACAACCACCATTACCCCCGCTGCAAACTTTTTTTCTTTTTTTTCTTTTTTTTTTTTCCCCCCGCTACAAACTTGCGAAAAAACCGCCACCATTTTTCCAAGCCCCGGAGCACCAACCCAAAACGTTTTGGGCCTACCCATAGCAGCAGACAAAGAAATATCAGCAATTCTTTTTTTTTCCCCCATACAAGTTGATACAACAGGTCCTTAGAAATATCCGCAAATCTACCCGTTTCTCAAAAGCTTTTTGCATTAACAAAACAACAACAACAACAACAACAACAACAACAACAACAACAACAACGCAAATCTAACCGCAGAGTTACAGTACTTCTTTCCAGCCCCTTCTACTCTTTCCTGACATTTTTCCGGAGAAGATTGGCACTCGATCTACATCCCTTTTTCTTTTGAGATTGGCTGATAGGAACCCGGTACAGCCAGCGACTCAAAATTCTGCACGCTGCTAGCACCTCTACCCCCCCTCGCAGGCAGTCGGCCAACCCCTCCTCCAGCTGCCGCAGTACTCGGCTCAGCTTCAGCATTCAGGCGGGGTCCGTGGTGGTATGATAGCCAGCCACATATAAAGAGCATCCAGCGCCGATATCCTACTACCTGCCGGCAAGAGCACAGTACAAGCATGGCCACTCTCTGTACATGCAAATTGCCTACATAGCGCATACCCCTTGACAGACAAATATGCCTCAGAGCCTACACATCTCTTCGCATCTATCCACCTTTTTCTTTTTCCCCTCATTCTGGACATCTGACATAATCCAGCAGACGGCAGCATATGAAATGGAGATGCTGAACAAGATGGGTCAGAATCATCGCAGTCTTCCGGAAGCAAGTGCTCAGAACCTTCGCAGTCTTCCGGAAGCAAGTGCCTCCTGTGCTTAATGTACAAGGTGATACATGTGTTCAACCTACAAATAGTACAAAACTTCTGCAAGAAAGAGCAGGATGGCTGTGAAAGGCTGCAGCTTGACAGCCCGTCTATTCTATCTTACCCTAAAAATACACAATGTACAGGGTGAATACTCACGATGTCCTACATGCTACAAACATAAAAGACAGAAACTCTCTCTCTCTCTCTCTCTCTCTCTCTCTCTCTCTCTCTCTCTCTCTCTCTCTCTCTCTCTCTCTCTCTCTCTCTCTCTCTCTCTCT